GGCTGAGTATCTGATGCAGTGTCCGCGCGGGACCTTTCCAAATTCGGCGACCTCATGTCCTCCACCCAGCCGCATAGCAAGAACTCGAGCAGGTCGGAGGACCCGCCCCAAGGCGTAAGTTTCCGCATATTCTGATTGATTCTTGCTTTATCGAACGTTATGACCTCGCACTTGCGCGATGCTGTGTCTGATGGGGCTGCTTTTGCATGGCACGGGAATCCCAAAACTCCCACTCTGCCCGGACACTGCCTTTAAGAGTCGTCAAATCTTCAGTGACATAACGTCTGCATTCCGTGAACTTTCATTTCTTTGATTGACTCTCATGTCACATTTGCAAGAAACGTTGCTAATGTGATTTACGATGGATAGGTCTCTGTCAGCTACATTTCACGCGGACGTCAATCATCAGTCGTAATTGTCAGTCATCAATCAAAGTTGCTATCAAAAAACGATGGAAGTTCACCTATAGCCATCCAGATGAAGAAGCGAGCCCAAGTGAGATAGGCAAGATAAGCCATCATAAAACAGTTGATGAGCAGACCAAGTGCAGGAATCAGTGGAACTAGTGGGACCTCAAAGAAAGGTTATAGATTTCTTATCACCAATGTGGTTCAAGTTGGCTGGACTCACTCTAAACGATAGGTCTTGTGAATTCTGCTCATGACCGGCAATGAATATGAGCGAGCCAATTATAAGAATTAGGCTTAGCGCAATGGAAACGTAGCCCGGTATAGTAGATAGCAATCCTGATGAAAATTGTTCTCAGCTTGTCTGTGGTTTAGTCCGCATAGACGAGTCGTCGCGCGCAGAGACAGAGCGCCGTTGCGGACAGTTTTGGCGTCTTTCTAACTAGGCGCACTTTCATTCCTCTTACTGTCCGCTGTCTCTTTCAAGACCAACTATTCTGGCCAGGCGCAGCGGCGTACAGTCTCTGCTTGCAATGAACTCGCCCATAAAAGAGTTTTTATATAAATTTTGCCATTGAGGACTTTTGCACAGTTCTGAGTAGCTCAAGTCATACAGGTGGAGAGGACGACAAGGGCAAAGAGAGTTGCTTTAGAGAAGCAGAAGTCCGCAATGGCGTCTAGTCCGTGCGTCATTGCTCGTGGTCTTTCTGATTCCTCAGCAACATCGAAGTTTCACCAATTCACCGGTAATTCGAATTTGGTGGTTAGTTTTTACCTAATCGCAACGTGAATGCGAGCCAGAAATATCCAAAAACTAGTGCAATCACAGCCAGCGGTATAGATTTTCCAACTGAAATTCTTTCCAGGTATTTGCGCATGGGCAACCAGTCTTTTATTTTGCCACCTAAAGGAAGCTTTCATTATCTTTTTTCTCCCTTGCTGTATAGTACCTTCGTCTAATTTGTCTTCAGCGCCGTTTATAGGAGCAGGCTGATATCTCAAAATCAAAACGCTAGCGGAGACCACTGAATAGGCTAGTAGAGTGCCTATGGATAGGAACTCGACCAGGGCTTCCAAGTCAAACACTAGGGCCAATGTAGCATTCAGAAGAGTAAAAACGATGATTGCATTGAGCGGTACCTGCAATAATTTTTCAGATGATTGAGCAATTTTCATCCAACGTCTGTGAACATCATTTCGCTGTGGAATTATCTTATTTCTCGGTTTACGCACCCTGGTAAATTTATTTACGGTGGCTAAGCATGAGAAGATAAGTCCATCATCGGCTACTGCGTACACTGTCCTCGGAAGCGCAAAAGCAC